ATATAAGGCTCATGCGAAAGTTTTTTCCTTTGTAAATTATTTTGAAGCAGCTAAAAACAAATCCTATGAAAGTACAACGACACAATCGAACAAATGAAAAAGTCGTCATTCATTTGATGCAATGAGGATGTGGCTATGCATATATGGGTGAGATGGCTGTTCAAAACCTTCGACTCTGGAGATATATGAGTGCCGAGTTAGGTATCCATCTCATTATACCGAAAGCACCCAAAGTCCTTCAAGTAGTAGCATATGATAACGAGCAATGCACTAAGTGACTATTTTAACCCCTATGTTTAGAATCTCTCGATATTTGAGTTAAGGATATTTTGACATTCCTCAACAGTTGTATTAAACTCTCTTTTCATTTGAAAGACAAAAAATGATCTATCTTACGTTTGCCTTCAATTTTATACCTTATGCCTTAGTTTAGTTGTATTTGTTTTACTCTTTGGTTTATATATTTAGTTGACGAAGCTAATCAGATAAATGTGTTTACTAGCTTAGAATCGTTGACAGATGACTGAGTACTTATTTTTGAGAAAGTTTTGAAGTTAAAAATTTTTAACTACAATGGTAGTTATGTGATATTTTCTCGAATTACAAATTTTCGACGATGTAATTCAAGTGGCAGGTTGATATTTTTCGAAAACTCATCTTTTTTTGAATAATAATCAGTGTTATAATACAATCTTTGTCTATTAGTAAAAAGTCTACAAAAATTGGTTTCGTTTTAGTTAGTGTAATCTCTGACATGACTTCAAACAATCATAATCGAAAAATAATATATTTGAAAAGAAAATATTCATACATAATGATTCTTGAAGATTACTTTAATGAGTTCGAATGTTCTCAATAGTTTTTCTTGTTCTATGTATCCTGGCTTAGAAAAAGCGATAGATTATCCAGTATGTCAGTTTTTGTAAAAATATAGTGCATCTTAGTGTTCTTATAGTTTATCATCTTAAGTAAAAGTTATCTACCTAAAACTTTGATACCGTTTAGTATTAATTAGACACAATAATCTGACAAAGTTGCAAAAATTTTGCTTTTATTGAATAAAAAACTGATGAATTTTAATATCGTTTCAGAATTTTTGGAACACTCCTTAAAATATAACCCAATGCCTTTCTGATGCTTATACTATTCTATATGCACGTTTTATTTAATTTTGAAGTATATTATTAGCTCAGATGAAGAAATAGTAACTTAGCAAAAATATTTTTAGGTACACTAACTTGTAAATTCTAAATGTAGCAGAATGTTTACAATTTGTACTATTGCGTGATTTGTTTTATAGGACCATGATTTGCTAATATCATAATATAACATAATCGTCGACCAAAGATCTATTATTCTTGAATGTAACAACAGAAACTTCAGTACAACGATAAGTGTTCTAATACTCTGATCTGATCATAAGATTTCACATTGTAAGTTAGAGTATACAGCTATAATTAAGTCGTCGAATACACTTGCTGTTTTTGTTACATTAGTTAGATAATAGGTGTAAGGATGAAACTGCCTGAGCAATTCATGAGCACAGGAAAATACAAGAAATCTGAACGTTAATATCGAAAAAGAACCTTTTTAGCAATTGGTGTTACACTCTGGTTATCAGCTTTTTAGAAAATTCTTTAATATAATTTCAAATTTTTGTGAAAAGATTGTTGTACTTCACCTTATGCTATATTCTAGTGTGCAACTAGTTGCAATTCCTAATTAAAGCTACTGAATTTTGAGTTGTTTACCAATTTAACTATGTCATGAGTAGTATTGTGGTTGAATGTTTCGAACATGTATAACTTGAAAAATTTTATTCTAACAGCTATAGTGTCATAGAACAATCTCCACAATAGATCTTAACTATTTTATTATTCACATTTGTGAATGTGATTTCGAAATTGATTTAGGAAATCATAATTTTGTGATAAATGATAACCTACCATGATAGGAACTTGAAAATAGGAACATGATAGAAAAATATTCAGGGTTATGGGTCAAAACAGATCACAGCCTAGCAGAATCATTCATTAGTTGCGATCATTCTATAGCTATTTCGAAGTTCGTACTGCTCTCTGCTCGTAATCATCGATGTGAGCATTGTTTTTTTAGCAAATCAGTGACGTCACTAACAACTATTGCTTTCTTATGGTTCTTTTGTTGACTCTTGCCTTATCTCAAGGCCAACGCGGAGCCTATATTGATTTTTTCCATTATGAGATAAAATATCAAAGTCTTAAATAAATATAGGAGCTTATAAATATTTATATTGTGCAGAATGAAATTTATTTTCAAGAACACTTACGTGACGGAACTTGCCATCGCTGTTGTCCGGTTGAATAAACACGGACATGATCTGAATCATTTTTCCTCCATTCATTTAAAGCTTCTAACGTTCCATCATGTGAATCAGATTCTCCGAGATAAATTCGATAGTAACCAAATAATGTTGTAATGGCGTGTAGATTCCGTTGAAAACCAAGAAGATTTTTTTTCACATTTCGACAACAAGAAGCAATTACTATTGTTAAATTTGATAAATTGACATCTTCTACTTTTAAAACAGGTAATAGTGGGTTTTTATTTATTGCTCGATTATCTTTCCAAAAGGGTACTGTAGAGAATGGATATGATTTTACAAAATTGTTATAAACAATAAACGTATGAATAACAGAAATAATACAAATAATTATGAGAGTAAAAATCATTGAAATAATGCATAGAATCAAACAAGTGATATTTATCGTACGAAGACCACGTAATTTCATCTGAGAAATGACTTTTTTCGTTTAAACCAGCAACAGAATATACTTTATTGATAACTATGTACTTTTTTCTTTATCGTGTACTTGTCGTTCACCGATTGACGTGGAAATAGTAAAAAAATACATCGTATATACGACAGCAATATAAAAAAATTGTGCTTTTTTTTTCTGTTCTACAACATACAATCTTTGACATCGTCCAATAAGCGTTGCTTTTTTTGTACTGAAACCTTTTTTCATACACGCATATATGTATCTTATTACGACACCGCTTGTCATAGATAATTTACGAAAAACATATTTGTGTCTCATTCTATGCACATGTACCGCATAAAATGAGAAGAACAAAAAAAAACTCGATTTCTATCATGGCCAAAAATTAAAGATCGACTCTATTCTTATTTTTGTTATCATTAAAATTTAACAAAACAGACTTTATTTCAAACTCGAAAGATATTGAAAAAATCAAATTTACTTCATCATTATGTCGACTATGATACTTGTCCACGTCAACGGATAGAGAGAAAATGTTTGTCCATTACCTTCACAGATGGAGGTTATAAATTACCTTCATATACGATTACAGAGATATATATGATTTATCAGTCCATACAAACTTTTTTCTCTTAAGTACTTACCCTGCTACATCGTAAAAAATACACTTTATATGATTGCCATTACGAACATAATTCTTCAGCTATTTGAAACCGATTTATAACTATATTGTCAATATTATTATTAGACAGCATGTTATCATTTATACTGTATAGGTCATAATTACCAGAGTTTTATTGAAAATGAACAAAATCAGTCACATTTCTAAATTCCGTACGACATGTCTTATCATAAAACAAATGTCTTCGGTATGAATAAAGATATCAGTCTGCCTTTTTGAATTGTTCTAGAGATCAAAGGATTATGCTAAATGAAATAGAGAAATACTCGAACTATTCTTCTAGTAGACATTGTCTCAGAAAAATTGAATATTATTAAAATAAAAACATAATTAGTTATCAAAAGTCTATACTGATTAAGTGTCGAACTGACGTGTTGCATATAAGATAAATATATTTTCTTTTTTTTATGCAATTAAATATAATTTAAAGATTCAAACAAGTTATATGAAAGGTAGCAATCGTTTATGTTGCAACAAAACGTTTAAGTAGGCGGAAAGACTTGAAACTTCAAATTAAGGCGGAAAATGATTTTGTTATTTGTGCTTTCTTCGACCTATTTAATTTGTTATCTGTTGTAAATATTTATTTGCTATCATGTGTACTTGGTTCGATTATGCCACATATGAATAATAATAGGATGATGATAAAAAGATGTTCTGATCGAAACAATGATGTTAAGGAATATTCAAGGGGGAACAAACTGATTACTTGATTACTTGATTACTAGTGATTACGAATGATTACCAGTGATTACCAGTGATTACCAGTGATTACCAGTGATTACNTGCCTCATCCTTTGTGATCTAGTACTATGAGCACAAATGATAACAAAAAAAAAAGTGTTATCAAAAATTTATTATCATATTATTATTTGAAGTATGATCAAATAGCATAGCAAAATAGAGCACTCTTTTCTCTATTAGACTATATAGAAAGAAAGTTTTTTTTAAGCTTACTATATGGCTATGTAACGTCGTGATCAGAACTTTTGGTACACCCTAAGTAATATAGTTCCGACCTAGAAAAACCTATTCCAGAATTTATTCGTATCTCATTGAAAAGAAATTCGTTAATACTTTTTCTTTTTTTTTATTTATTTAGTAGACCACTAGCACTCTGTTGAGTCACCCCTCTTGAATTATGTTCTCATTGATGTCATTTATTAGATAATTCGCTTCAAACCATAAAATATTCAACTGTAATTTTTAGTTCCGGTTAGAGTTGTCAATATTTTTAGCAGAAGAAGCTAAAAGTTCGACACAAATTCAGATATTTTGCGGGAGAAAGAACTCCAGTAATCGAGGACCCTGGTCCTGATCCTAGCAAACTTTCAAATTTCAGTTTCGGTCTCGCATCTGCCTACTGGGCACAGTCCAACAAGATATCTTTTTCTCAGTTATATCACAACAATTTGAATATTTTTTTTGCTGTTTTTATTTTATATTTCTAGATTTCTTATATAATAAAAAAAAATGTATGAAACAAAAAGAATAACATCTACATTCTGGAAAAGATTTGATTTATGATTTGAAAGAAATAATAAATTGATCATTTGTTATTTTTTTCTTCGTCTTGATTTACCGGAATTAGTTGTCGATGTTGAACTAGCACTTGCTATTGTCGGACTATTTACAGTTACTTGACTCGTTTCAAGTTCATCAACTGATAGATCTTTAATTTCTTTAAGTTTTTGTTGACCATCAATATAAAACATAAGATCACGTAATTGATCTTTAAGATCATTGATTTCCTATGAAAAAAAAACAAATAAAATAGATTAATTAAAATTTTTTTAAAATAAAATATCGAACTTCATTTTTATTTTTCATGGCAGTGTCAAATTCTTCTCTTAATTTTTGCATTTCAGCTTGAAAATAATTTTGATTTTGTCTTAATTGTTCATTCATTAATCTTTCTTCATCAAAATCATGTTGAAGTTTTGTTATTTTAGTTGAAGAACGTTTTTCTTGTTGTTGTTTTTCTTTGGTTATTAAATCAAGTGTTGTTTGTAATTGTTGTGCATGTTCTTTTAATAATTTATTTGATTGTTCAAGTTCTTCGATTTTTTCATGAGTAGCATCTTCAACAAATTGTAATTTATCCTCAAAAAATCGTCGTTGAGATTCTAATTGACTAGTTAATAAATAAGTATACTAAATTAAAATAGTTCTTTATATTTAATTTATTCATTTTTTCTTTGTTTACTTCAAGTTCAATTGAATCAATTTTTTCTTGAGTTGTATCAATTTTTGATGTATTCTCATGATAATCATCCTAAATTCAATCATAAAAAAATGATCAAAAATAAAAGAAAAACTTATTCTTACAATTTCATAGGTCCTAACACCTTCACCACGTAATTCAACAAGTTTTCCATCACTTTTATTTTGTATAAGTCGATGAACATAATTATCACCGACATAATCCCATACATGTTGTCGTTTTAAGTCCATTGTATAGGTATGTTGAGTTAATTCAAAATGTCTAAGAGGAATTTAAATTTAGTTTTAAATTTAAAAAAATGTCTATTCCCACAATATCTGAGGAATTAAACTGTAAAAATGAATGAAGCTGTCGACATTGTACAAAGGAGTGTTTACTAACATAACGTGTGAAAGAACGACAAACGGAAAGCTATCTGAAATTCAGTCGTGTTTCATACTAATTCTGTAGTAGACTTCGATCTTATTACTATGTCTGACACATGTGTGGGAGCAGCATTATCGATTAGGGTGGGGATGGGAACTTTCCCTTGCCAAAAATATTGAATTTTCTGCAAAATGTTTTACAGTGTCGTGGGAAATTCTGATAGAAATGGAACTTTTGCATTTTTAGCTCTACTTAAGATAGATATGCATACGAGTATATGTTCTCTCAGACAAAATATCCCAGAGAATTGATGATGTGAACATTTTCTCTGTTCAATTTCTGCCAGAAAGACGAATGAACACTCTTTTTAGTGGAATTTTCAATCTCTTTCACGCTCGAAAACATTCGGAAATCCTGTATGATGAGCATTGTTCGATTCGACTTGGGCGCGAAAAAAATCTTTGGATGTTGATATGGATCTGCAGTCTGAACATTTTACAAATAAAAAAGACATTTTGGATGTTATTTTCATTTACTATTTCTGTAAGAGTGGATGAAACAGCGTATTAGAACAAGAAGTTATGTATCGCACGATCTTTTCGTCGACTTTGTGGATATTTCTTTATTGATATTGGACGACGGTGCATAGCAGGTGCACTGTCTGTTTAATGACGAATAAAGGTCAGTAGTTGAATACGTAAGAGAAGAAAGACAAATAAGAAAAGGTTTCATCATATGGTCGTGTTGTCCCAACTGCGAAATATTAAGGACAAAAAGAGGTCAAGGATATATCTTTTGTTTCCGATTACGGAATGGAACAAAGAAAAAAGGATTGAGACATTAATTTTCTCAACAGAAAGAGAAAAGTAGTGCATACCAGGGGGTCCCATTCAAGTTGGATCACAAAAGTTTAACCTATATCGGATACTGGTGGAAGTATTGAATTTTTTATTCTTATACTTTCACACTAGACCCCATTCAATCCAAAGTTTTCCGACTGGACCATGATTCGGTCGAACTGTATTTTGATACTCTCAATGGAATTTCCTAATCGGAATTGGATTGTCGCCCTGAAGATACGAGATACCATTTTTCAATTTTTGTATTCGATGACTAGCGCATCGTACATACTTCTTAGATGACTAGTGTTTCACAAAAACCCCAAATCAAGAAATGAATACATACCCAAAAGCATGACCTTGCTTAAATCGACTACAGCCAACATGTCCACAAATTAAACAAATCCAAAGATCCTAATGAATATAAAAACAAAAAGGATATTATTCAAATGTTAATTCTAGTTTTCTACCTCTTGTGAACCACATTCAAAACATGATTGACCATCGATCATTTCCGGTGTTTGAACATAACGACAAACAGGACAACTAAAAATATTCAAATAAACTAAATATAAAAATAAATCATTTCATTACCAACTATCACCCCATTTAATAAGACAATCACCATGGAAAGAATGATTACATAGAATAGTCAATACTCCAGCAAGACTTTCATCCTTAAACATAACAAAAATTCATCTAAAGAAATAAAAATCACTAAATTACCATTCTTTCCAGACAAATATAACATGGTGGCAATTCAGTAAGACCAGGAATAGGACACGATCCTTCCTATATAGATATATTTTTAAAAAGAGTTATCCAAGATAAATAAAATGAAACGATTATTACTTTAGCTGTACTAGTTATATCAACTTTTGCAACGAATGCTAAATGGCAAACACCTTTTTCAATTGAATTAAATTGACGATTATTGTAATAGTCATAGAATTCATCAGCTTCTTTCTAAAAAAAAGAAAGAAAAAAAGTAATAATGGAATATACAAATATTAAAATCATAGTAAGTATTCACAGTAGAAATACAAAGATAACTCTGCTAATATCTCTCGATCACTAACTTTTCTGTTTTTTTAATTAGAAAAAAAGAACGATTTCTTTTACTCTTGCAAAGTATTTATTCTATCCTTGTAAAATAGTTCATACTTGAGATTTAAATTTAATTAAGCACATATATTGATTTGGTGTTGGATCACGAATAATACGTAAATATTCAATACCATCACTAAGAATACATAATACAATAGAAATCAGAATATCGATTATATCATACTAAGCAGGATATATGAATGTAATCAATTCTCTACAAGCTACATCAGCTGGAATAGCTAACATGGCTAACATTTCACTACGTTTTGGTTCATTATTTGCACCTAATGCTTTACTAAAAAAATATATATAATTTATTAATAAATAAATTTAAACATTTTATTTACTTGTCTTTGTATAAATGTAAAATACCTCGAGTAATATCAACAAGATGATTACCACAATAAAAGGGAATTTGTAAATCAGGAGATGTTGATATATGAGTGGACAATTCTATACCTTTTAATTAAAATAAATCTTATAATAATTTAAATTATATATATGTTTTTTGTTTTAAATATTACGATTTGTATCATTAGTAGTTGTTGATACTTTTCGATTTTTTTTTGTTTTAGTTGTATTTTTTGTTGTTGGCAAATCATTCATATCAGAAAAAGTTGATTGTGTTGTTAATTGTTGTTGTTGTTGTTGGGATTCATCAGTTATTATTGATTTTGGTACAGCATCAGGTTCGTTTGTATTTGAAACATTCATTTCTTGTTGTTGTTGACGACGTTTTGATAAATCAAGATAAGTCATTTCTATAGCATCACTCATTACGTTTGATGATAGGGAACGATGATTTGGTAAAGATAATGATTCTAAATTGAATAAAATATTAAAAAAAAGAGCATCAACCATTGATAACTATCAATATTTCTATTTACCGTCAAACACATATGTTTCGACAAAAAGTTCACGTGGTTCTCTTTGACCACTACTAGCAGCTTTTACTGCAGATAAATCTTTATTATTCGTATTTGACGGTAAAAATTCTGTTGGTTCGTGGAAAGAAGCTTAAAAAGAAGACTTATGATAGTTGGTAAATAAAATTAGTCAAATAAACAATACCTTCGTAAACAATATATTTCAGTGTTTCTAAATCTGATTCAAATGCGTCATCGATCTCGAGTCGAAGACAAATGACCATTGGAATATGTAGGAAAAAATATTCTACGTTTCAATATGATAAGTTAACACTTTAATTCATATGAAATCGAAATAATAAAAGACAGAATCATAAAATATGCAATAAAGGAAGAAAATATATGTAAGAACTCGCGTAACATGACACATTTTCATGTTGATTGGGGGAATGCAATAACCATACACTTCAAATCAACAATGATTCATCATTGTAGGTGGCATATATATACATGTGTGAATAAAAAATACTACAATCAGATAAGTCTTTTATTATTAGTAGTATTCATCAGCACTGTGACCATACTGGTCTTAAAGAGACAATTGAACTCAAGGACTGTAGATACCAGTAGTGAACCGACTTAAAATAAAATTAAAAAAAAAGAATAAAACAATAAAGACAGTATGATAAAAGGCTGTCGAGAAGGTCGCGACACAAGAACAGATATTTGACTTTTAATGATTTCTGACGTCCCAAATCGATTTTTGGATATATTACTGTCTGGTCTCTTGTCAATAAGTTATCTATCACTGCTTTCCCTCTTTTTCATTCCAAAATGTTTTTGAAATTAAGAGAATTTTTGAAAAGTTCATGGAAAAATTTCAGCCGAAACCGCCTATTAATACATTGGTTTCCACATCTAACTAGAAGAATCAATTAAGACATAATAACGCCGACAAAGAGATATTTCAGATCTTCTAGATAAGCACATTTTTTGTCACCGTAAGATTCTTTACCACAAAAAGAATTGTTGATTCTCAACAAACTAACATTGAGCCGATGCATCATATCGTCGCCGTGTTTATTGTGCTTTGTACAGCTGTTCTTCGAAAGGTTTTTGTCATTCACTGACTGTAAGCTTAAGTCAAATAAATTAGTTAACATTGTGTCGTTTTAATTTTAGATGAACATCAAAATGATATTAGATGGTTTAGTCACTAGTAGGAAACAAACTCTTGAAATATTTAATAGAAAGATGTTGCATTAATTTAATACAACATTTATGTCATCTAAAATATCTGTTTTTTTTTGTCCAGGATTTAAAACTTGAATTGATATAATTTGATGTTCATAATGTTATAATAATTTTACTTACGAAATTACGTCAACATGAGAGTAGTATTCGATTCTTGCGTTATAATGATTCTTAGAATTTATTAGAAAGCAAAAAAAAATAAAAAATTTTTATCACATGTAATCTGAAAATATTCTAATTAGTTTTATATATTTAAAGTTTTCAGAGTTTCAGCTCGATTTATGAAATAGTACAAGCACTCGATTTGGGTCTTGATGTCTGAGAAGAAGATATTGATGTTTTCACTGTTTCATTTTGACTATTTGGTAGATTGAGAATAGCATTTTCAAATCGGTTAAACATGTATTCTTCAAGTTCTTCTCCTGAGTGATATTTAGCATATTTTTGCTCATATTTGATAAATTCTTTTTTCGAATCTTTGCGTAGCTTCAAAGCATATTTGTGTATCTCAGTAACTGATTGAAAATCATATAAATTCACAAGAGTATCAGGAACTTTGTGACTATTAAACCATGCATGAATATCATCAACTACCCATTGCTCAAGAGGCTTGTTAACATCGAAAGTAGTCGATTTGATTATTTCAGTTTCTTTTTGAGATCGTGTCGGTATCGTATGTTGTTCTGTTGATTGTTCTAGAGGTTGTGTTTGTGTTGCTTTTATAGTAGCTTCAATGGTTTTGAAAAGTTCTTGAACTTTGCTTTGGTCAAGTTTTTCAGTATTGTTTTTAAAACGAACATATTTCAATTCAGCAATGTGAATGTCTACAAAATTTTATAAACATTGATTAACTACATTATAAAATGGAAGAGCATCTGCAAATGATAGATAGAATCGGTGCTGATGATTGGCTGGTCGCCGGTCTGAACATCCATTAATGACACTCTTTACAGTATATAATGGTTCCACTGCGAAAATGAAACTTAAAATACAGAAACTCAATTAAGTACATATCTCAATTCTGATATATATATTTTTGTTGTTATACTCAGCAATGTTTTAAACTTGAAATAAATTTTCTTTGAAGAAGTTATTATTAAAACTATAGTCAGTATGATCTGATCTGCTATGGTTAAATATAACCTTCTTGTGATTTACTCATCAATTGATCTGGGCTAAGCGATTGCATTAAAACTAAGAATTATAATAATCATTACGTACACAAAAAGTTGTTGGTCGTTTAACTAATAGGAAGACCAAAGTTTTATAGAAAAAAGAACAAAATAGTGTAACTATAGAAAATAGAGATTTTGCTCTTTGAAATCAATCTGACCAAACCAAATTGGCACTAGTTGTCAAAAATCCAGATTGGTTCCATTTTTACCAAAAACGCTTTTGAGAGATCATGAAAAGATTTAATTTCCAGTATAAAAACTTCATATTTTCGTATATAAACTGTGCGGAATAAATTTATTTTCGCTAAAATTGTTGCCAATAATTTCTGTCAGACAAATATTACGCAGACTGAATTTCATATCAAGTGAACATTAATATTTGTCCTATACTCTTAAGGTTAGTCAATAAAATATTTATTTCTATTTTCCATCGTTCATACAATTTGTAATCGGTAGCAAAATAAGAGAGAATAATTTTAATTTAATCTTTTATTCGTTTTAATTTTTATGACTGTTATACATCTCAATCTATCGTAGATGAATTAATTTTTAAAATAGTTGACATTATCGAAATACTTTTGATCAGATGATATTCGATATTAAAATATTCTATTATATAGTACAATAAGTACTTAGGACTTATTAAAAAATTTCGTCGTATCGAGAATACTAGGGTAAGGAGAAGGAGAAAATAAAACAACATACCAAGCCAATCACAATCACCTGGTTCACCGATATAGACAGGAATGATTGACTTTTTGCGTTTGGTTGCAAAAGTAGCTTCTTTACGGCATGACTTACTATTGTAATAGTCTTGTGAAAGAAGACATAGAATAAGATTTGATTGTTTTATTCCAAGAGCAATTTTTTCCCATAAATCTTCATTCGACGAGCAATGATCTCGATCGATCCAAATTCCAAACAGATTTCTTTTTTTCCCGAGTTCAGCAAGAAGTTTATCACAAAATGGATTGTTACCATGAGCATAGCTAATCATGATCATTGGTTTTTCACCACCAGAATTAGAGACTAAGTGACAATCTACGATATCAGTTTTTCTCCCATCGGATATTTCATTAAGATTGTAGAGAATACCGTTAGCAGCTTTTGTCATACTTTCCATTGAGCGTGAAACATATTCATCGACAATTTTTTCACCATTATCAATAGCTAAACTATTGATGGCATTTAAGAAATCTTTGTTTTGCTGAAGCTTTGTTTTATATCGATCTTGAAATGAAATACTCCATAAAATGTTCAATAGAGCTGTGCATGTAAATTGTTCGAGTTGATTTTTCTCTGTGAATGCATTTCGAAATTTCATGAACAAATTGATAAATAAGTTAATTGTTGATGTTATATCAAGTTGCGGATCAGTTTCTGCATGACTAAGAACATACTCGAGTGAGTGATCATCAACAAACAATTTGCTGAACACAGTTAACGGTTCAGATACATGGAAGCGATATTCACCTCGATGATCTTCCGTCTAAATAAAATAGACTATTATGCTTTCATTATCGAAATTCATTAAATATTATCTTGACATGTTCTGAAATTAAAAGTAACCTATTTCATATGAGAATTATTTATGCGATAAACTCAATATGATATTCTACTATTCAAATAGATTAGTATTTTAGTGTCATCTCAGAATTTTGTTAAACTAACTTAATGATAAATTTTCTGTATGAGATGATATTTATTTGAATGTTGAATAATTTCAGATTGATTAAGTGTTGGCAAAACATATATTTGATTGAAAGGAGTGAGCACATCATCACACCGATTGTGAAGTTATGAATCAACATTTTTGTGGATTCGGGCCCAGATCTGACAAAGAATAAAATTTTGGACTTAATCACAGCCAGGTCCAGACTCTAGTGTTTTTCATCAATATCTATCACCCATTCTGTACATGAACAAATGAAATATCAAGAATTTAATTATTTTGTGGACTTCTCTTAGAAAAAAAATCAACATACAGTTATTACTTGTTGTTCATTTTCTCACCACCCGAGACTTGATAAATTAATAATGTTCACTAAGATAAAAAGAGCATTATGCTACCAAAAAAGGAAACTACGAAGTTAATTGATAAACAAATTTTTGTCATTGAAAATCGTCAAACGAAGAGTAACTCCAAAATATTCAATTGTATGCAATATGTTTTGTTGTAATTATGAGAACAAGATAAAGCAAATAGAGAGCTGTAGGTCCATTTTTTTTATGGACTCGCACTCCAACAAGCCTCAGTCTGGAAAACAGAGATATATAATCTATCCACATGCGCGAGCCACCATTCAAAGATACTGTAAGGGACTTATGAGTATATAGGAGAAAGTTTTTGAAAAATCATTGGTGCTCAGTAATACAGATTGAAGATTTACTTAAATTTTTGTTCTGATCTTGCTGGATAGAGAATTTAATCTTCTACAAAACCGTTGAGTTTGTCTTTCGATGAGATTTTTAATGCGGACATAAACTTTATGAGATTAAAATCTATTGAATTGTCAAACTACGAATTTCTATTTTCTCACGGATAAAACTGATTGATATGAGCGTATGCTTATCAAGGCCAATACTAAATGCAAAAGATTGTACATGATAAACTAGAATTTTTTTTGCTCTGCATGCTCCTAACTTTAGCATAATTCTGAGTCTTTTGTTTAAAAGAGAAATACTTGCGAGCTAACATCTGAAGTTATTTTTAAATGCATTACAAAATATTATCTGACCATAAGTCAAATACGTCCTATAAAATGTTGGTTCTTGAACTATTCCATGTCCAATTAAATTCTGAACTAGATGATGTATGAGTTCACTTAAACCGTTGAAATAAAATATTTTCTCCCAAATATTTATTCTGACACTTAGAAAGTTACACCGAGAGATGCAGAGTTTAATGTAGAATATTGAAGCATATTTCATATTTTAGCAAATTCGTTTCTAAAAATTCTCTATATTTCTCCCTGTTTGACTTTGACAATTGTACCTCGGAGTAGAAGTTGATCTCGCTCACTTCATTCTGATGCTAGAGTAAACAGTTTTGTAGAAAACTGAACTCTCCATATACTAGCGTAAAAATCAAAGTTTAAGATAATTGTTAAATCCTTCAGAGATAGGAAACAAAATTGCATCGTTTATTATGATGCATCCTTTATTTTTCTGCTTCACAGAAAAATTTCACAATTTTCAAAAGGAATCTGTAATCGAATTTTATGGCCAGGGACACTTTTTTTAATGAAAACTTTGCCGTTGGAGGAAATTTTACATTAGAGTGGCATATTCTGGATCTCTGTTGGAAGAATTCGCAGCTCCCTAATACTTATATATTTCTTCGCAAAACTCACCTCAGCAGCTTGTATAGTGATTTGCAATAATTGATTAAGAATTTTATTCATTCGTTTATTATCTGAACGAATTTGCTTGGATGTAGAGAGAAGAGCAATCGCCATGGATATGAGAAGATTATTTAAATCGTCTAATGCTTCGCTACTATTGCTTTGAATATTTTTAAGAATAAGAAGACCATCGAATTTATTGATTTCATCAGCACCTTCATCATGTCGAGATATATTATGAATAATGCTGAGAATTTGTTGAGCTGTTTCTGAAGGTATTTCTATAATTTTCAAACATTCTAACATAGATTCAACCAGACCAATACCAAGAAGCCATGGAACAATAACTGTCCGATCAGACAGATTCCAAAAGAATGATAATATAAAACATGTTGTCTGATTATCAGGAACTGTTAGCTGTTCAATGTCAATGCTAAACTGTAGATCACGTTTCACTCGTTTATACATTGCACTAAATATATCAGTGTATTTCCGTGTAGTACTATCGGTATTCACAAACGGAGCAAGTGTAATTTTGTTATAAACTAAACTTAAAAGTAGATTGTTTATGCATTTATAAACTTCTTTGTGTGGTAGTTTTGTATGTTTATCATTATTCAAATACGAATGAATTTGTGGTTTAGAAAGTAAGTCGAGTGATGCAAATAATATCTCACGTGTAAGAAGCTTTTCATCTTCTATGAAAAGCATTATTTGAAAAATAGATTCAATATGGTGAAGTAATTCAAGGCAATTTTGAAAATCATTCATGTGAGTAAAAGTTACTTTCTCGACTGTGTCGATAAATTCATTACATAATGGTATTGTTTGATGAATAAGATCTTGATGATTGTCATCATTCTCGCGAGCTTGTTGGAATTTGATTAACAATGGCTGGAATACTTCATCAGATTCCGTCGTTCGTCCACTTGTTTCCAAGGACATATTATCCGCAAATTCCTGAAATAATTGAATAATACCTTCCATATCTTTGTCTTCTCGTTCAATTTAATCGTTGGACGAAAAAAATTTCACTGCTTCAGTCTTCGTTTATACTGTAAAAATAAATCTATAATTAATATAGTTATGTTTAATGTGTTTTTATAGTGTGACAAAGAACACCCGATGCATTGTATATTTGAACAAATGCCACGTTATTATTTTTCTCTCACTAACAGACGGCAGGCAGTTTCTTTTATTCCATTGTGCGCAAAAAAAGACACGTTGAAAGAAGTAAAATCAAATAAAGGTTTAAAACGTTGTTAAGAAAAAAACAGAGAACCTGAGAATAGAATTGCATTCTCCCTATTATTACATTTACAAATATGATTTTGTTTACTTAAGAGATGAAGAATATTGACATATTTCGTATTTTGAGAAAGGTAAAAATAAAAATCGTTACTTTAGTATTCATTCTCTTGTCTTTAGAATGAAATGTCTACTATTGACTTTAGAATGAACTATATTATCAAGAATGGAAGCAAGAATTTGTAATTTAGTCAGAAAAACTTAAATAAAAAAAATCTGTAGCTCATTAATGGTCTAGACGTTCGTCTCTTTTGTTTTTGACGAATACAGACTGAGAATCGGAAAATCAGTTAACTTTTTCTTTCAAATATAGGAAGAAGATTTTTTCATGTTCTATTATACTAATCAATGCTACGGAATGACTCGTAAAAATCAAGTTTGATCTATTTTTAATGCTGTCCAATTTCCAAAATTCCATGACGTATTCTGAAATCATATTTGATCACTACATAATTACTCTATTTGACTTACGAGGATAGTATCCAAGATGTTCAGTTCTGTTTTGATCCATTCATATCTCATTCGACAGGATATATGTAATTTAAGAAAAGTGATCTCAAAGAGTTTCAGCTTATTTGGATACTGGTGAAGAGTGATCGCCGCTGTACTGAAAAATTTAGTAGGAGTTTTGACTTGAGGTTTCACATAAAGATAGATTTAGTATTTGTTAAATGAGAGTCGTGACAATTTTAACGAAAACAAACGTGTATTTCTCGAGATAATTAATTTTCAAGTAGAGTCGATTACTGTGTTCTCCTACGATAAACAGCTGTTTCTTTTTTGGAAACTGAATATATCGAGAAAAATATGTTCGTGTTCGTTAAGACTTTCAGGGCTATTTAATTGCTATTAAACCCATCTATAGGCATAGTTTTCGGTCAAAACTATTCATTCCAGTAAAGCGATGATAACTCCTCACTAGTAAGCCATGCGCTGAATATCGTTTAGGCTTTTTCTTATCTCAATATACTTTTTCGAATGAAATATGAATGAGTCAGAAAGAAGCTCGATATTTCGGGTAATTTTCCTCGTTAGTACATTCACATAAAAATGATGTAGTTCTAGACAGTGATTTCCATCTTGAAAGTTGTTCATGAACTAGTAAAATGTCTTATTTTAGTTTTTAGAGTCTTAAGTTCTGGGAGAAAGCAGCTTTTATTCTACTACGAGGCATACATAAGCTAAAATATCCTTCATTTTTCATTGAAATATAACCATAGGTCTTGATAGCAGCGAGGAAATCGTGAACTAGTTCTTTCTACTTTTTACGTCGGATCTGCAAAAATTTCAAGTTGTTACTGGAAAACTATCTACTAAATTTTAGAAAATAGCTTTCGTGAATCACTTTCTACCAGACAGACTCCTTCGACTGTCTGTCAAATTTTTAGTCCTTTTCACTTCTAAAAACTATCGGGAGTCCTAAAAATAATCGAATACAACATAGCAACATACTATACTTATACTTTACTTATCATCTACAAACCACGTAAAATACGAAGACAAATAAACATTGATAAAAATATGACTCCAAAAGCAATTAAAGATCCTTTCTTTTGTTTTTAGTCGGAATTTGATATGACAAAATAGATTTCAAACGAATACAATTGCGAACTTTACATAACTTCTTAGATTTTACTAGACTTCAATTAAAGTTGAACATAATTTAATATTAATATATAAAACTAGTTCTTTGTTCTCATTTTAAACTTTTTAAGAGGTCTGTTTATTTTTGGTCTGACACATATATATAAACTGATACTGAAGAATCGTTTTATATTATAGGAGGCTAGATGCTATCAAATATCGGAAAATTGATGTCTTACAATGCTATGAAAGATAAAAAACGAAAATCTCATTTTGAATAATCTATCATTTGGTTCTGTTCATTAATTAATTTAAGTTCATATTTAAAACTACTGAACTCAATAATATCGTTTTTCTATTGTTGTTGACACTGCTTTCTTTTCCTGTGATATAATAAAAATCTCGATCGCTTTTCAAATGTAATTTTAATCTTACATGCCATTTTTTTCTAGTCAATGCTTCAACTTCTCTTTATACTTGCCAAAAGAATTTTTTTCCATGAGAGACCAATGCGCCGTTTGTTGTAGAGCAGTTGAAAAAATAGTAAAACTTTGTTTATCTACTGACACAAAGACTAATAAATGCATGAAAGTACATAGAAACTATGTGTTTCGTATTATTCAACCTATAGAATGTTTGATTATGAAACCAGTGAAGTGAATTTTGTTCGATGACTATAACAAGAATGATGAAAATGACACAGAATATATGTGAATATTGACAAAATTGAGTTTAATAAGCATACTAAAGTTATGTTCTTTTGATTGAAAGGATAGGGTCTAGAAACGAGAATAAACCTGTGTCTGTCTGTAACATGTTTACTATATGGTTACTATGGTACAAACGACTGTGTATGGTAACAAAAGAAGAGCACCTACACATAATGATGAAAATTAATCGAGAAATAGTAGTGTCTCAGGATGAAGAATAGGAAATCTATATACACTCCGTATTTATCTATATCGTACTCGGCGAGCTACGATCTTAATACTGAGTCACGTAACACATCAGGATACGACAGCATACGTACATGGTTTTTCGACTTCCAATGCTTTTAGAAGTGATGATTAATGCTATTAAACTACTGAATGGCTTGATCGATTGCTGAAAGCTGTATACATAAGGATGTCAGTGTGGGGGAAAGAGAACTAGTACATCCACATCCTCTCTTTCGTTGATTTCTTTTTGTAATATTTGGTTATGATTAGGTATTGCATTTTTATCTTTAAGAATAAAATTTAATGTACCATTGTTCACTTTTGTTTTAATGTAATATGTTCGTCGATTCTAGATTGATCTAGACCAATCTGAGATTGGATGTTAACATAAATAAATTGTTTGATTAGCGTATTCAATAATCATTTGAGATTACAAATAAAGTTTTGACAAGAGTACTAAAGAACAAAAACGAAAACATAGTTACAAGAGTGAAACAATCAATAAAATTTCACAGAATTTCTATTGAAAAACTGATAACATTGCACATAAAAGCTAATCTTCATTAATCAATTGTAGAATATACAATATCAGTTCTTTTTTCTCAACATAAAAATCAAGTTTTATCTTACGAAAAAAATTAGTTAACTGAAAGAAATCGTTCTTAGATGTCAAGTTATTCCCTATACTGAAAGGAGGGTCATATGCTGAGTGAGTTATCTTCGTTCGTTCGTTCGTTCGTTCGTATGTATGAATGTATGTATGTTCGTTCGTTCATTCATTAGAGCGCAGGAGGTGAACTGAGTTTATTCATTAAACTACGTGAGACAAAGTTTGACCCAAGATTTTTCGGATTGACGAATTCAAATCCGTGATCAGTTTTTTGAAATTTTGAGTTCTCTTTTTTTTTAGACAAAGAAAGAGTTTTTTACGAAAGCAATGATTTTTTATAAAGTTTGACCAAAGGTTCCTGGGGTTGGGGAATCCGAATCCGTGATTAGTTTTTTGAAATTTTGTACTGTATGCTGCCGTGAATAAGACACTTTGTTTCAGAAACAATTTGTGTCAAAACTTTATCGATTCACCGAATCAGAAGAATAGTTTGGAAGATATTCATTGCTGAGTTCGAAATATTGCTGATAGAGTGAAGGGTTCTGTTGCGTTTGCATCCAATGTATTATGTTTTGTAGAAGTTTAAATAAGTTCGTATTGATCTCAGAAAACTTTGTTTTCCAATATGAGATCGATTTTAGCACGCACTTTGCGACTCATTTCAGTGCAGACGAAACTCAGTTGGGAAAACTGAGCTTCAAAATAAGTCGTTCTAAGAAAGTTTGTTATCGTTGCTGCAACTTCAGATGAAAGGTGCTATCCGCCCAGGAAAAGTATCTGTGGCTTCATTCTCAGGTCACATACTGCTTCAGCGCATGCGTGTTCAGTTATTGAAAGTAATACCGGCAGATGGTTGCAACTATTAATTTTTCTTTTTGCACTAATGCATGCATGAAGTTTTTATTTTAATAGATTACTTATAGACAGATCACCAAACAATGAAGACAACAAAGCTGAAAACAGGTAGCAATGAATTGTGCTGTAAATAATAAATGTATCATTGTTCATAGACTATAACTACATTAGAACGGTAGTAAGACACAAATTATCTAAAGAATTGAAGGAAAACGTTTTCGAGTGTTTTTTGCAATCGTGTCTAATCTATTGAGTTCCTCTGCTTGTGTCGGTGTGTAGGGTGTGGATAACAGGTAAACTATACTCGCGCGCACACCCACACGCTCGAATCTGTGAAAGTTGGCTTCATTCCCTTTCCGGTAGTTATCATTAAATACTGTCAAGCGATAATCAGATTGTCGTCTTACAAGAAAACACTGATGTTCATATTTTCTAATATATGAAGGTGAAATGAACGATGCATATGTAGACAATCTTGCTGATGACAATCAGGAGTTTGAGATTGCTTGTATTTAGAAAATGAACAAGTTTTTTTCTTTACTATGAAATATTTTTTGTATTGATAACAAAATAATAAAAAGTACGCATAATAAATCAAGAAAAAAAGAATTGTTATTTGAATAAAAAGAAACGATTGTAGTGCGAGACTTTTCGAATTTATCATTATTAATGAGTTTCCAGAAAACAGTTCAATTGGATGAAGTATGGTGGATGCTTTTACATATAATAATGTACTAAACCAAAACGACTCAAAGAGAATATGGGTGTGGTNCGAAAATTGGTCGCACAGAATTTCGTCCATTTTGAAAACAAAGAGTGCATGTATAAAATAAGGTTTTCAATGTAACTTATAGAACTTTTCACGCTGCGTCTTATGGTATACTTTGCTTTTCAAATAGATGTACTTAACGACAAAAAAAAGAGATACAAACACCGGTTAACTTTGAAAGTTGGGTACTTTTAATGTGTCAGATAATCTTCGTTTAACGTTTTTCCTTAACTTTCTACACAAATAAGTTTGATTACGATTTTACAGAGAATTTGACGACGCATCTTTTGGAAAAACAATTAGCTCTAAAGTCCAAAAAGAAAAAAAGTTATAGTCAAAATACTAAGAGGTCCATTTAATCTGGGCCACCCGTTATGATATAGAAAGAAAAAAAAAGGAGTCTTCTGGTTATTGGTCAATAATTCAACTTAATATTCCTATATATAAAGTACCGAAAATGTTTTGATAATCATAGTTTCTTTTTTTTCTTTTTCTTGACTTTTGCAGAAAAACAATAGTAAATACAAGAAACATTGTTTTTCATATTTCACATAAAATGAACGTCCATCTGGTCAATTTGAATTTGACCAAGTTTCGATCATAAAAATTTGGATTGTAGCCATTACAATCATTTTGACTTTTTTATAAATTAGTTACAAAAAGATGAAAGAAATTATTAAACCATTATAATCCAAATTACAACAACTACTTTATTCACCATCAGATTGACTTTTCACTTTTGTAATAGTAAAAATGTTCGTTCATTTCGTTTCATTGACTATGCATATTCTTAACTGTGAAAATCTCTGCGACCAATTTCAATCATACTATATAATTATCGCTGCAGAGACTTTCAAACTGTTGTCAAACACCTGAAGAAAATGATATACTATACTTCGAAAAATCATCAGACGTTTGCGAAATCTTCGTCTTGATTTTCTATATAGACAATGTCATAACAATCTGCTCTTCTTAATCACATTAGTTTTAATTATATGATCTCTTCTTTTATCCAAAAAAAATTTATCTATATTAACATGTAGTAGACAAGAGAAAAAAAAAGAAAAGAACATATAATCACCTTTCTCGTTTAACAGTTCAAAGAAGAGAGATTAGAATAAAAAAAGACATTGTTCTTTCCTGAAAAAAAATCATTCTATATTAATATCTGTTCACCGGTTTGTCTTATTCAAAAAAAATTTTTTAATGCCAATATGATCATAGGAGAAGAGGTACTGAAGAAATACACAACAAGAGAATTTTAGAAATCTGGAGAGATAAAGAGAAAAACATAGATTCAGTCTATATCTGACAATCGATAAGATTTAATCTTGATTAATGATAACTGCTGTTGTTTCTTGGTTATTTTCTTTTTCTTCATTTACATCAGCCGATTGATCAATCTAGAATAAGATATAATTAAAAATTTTCTTTAATGAATAAACTAACCTTAATATTATTTTCACTTTGTGTTGATTTTATCATTAAATCTTTTTCATTAGGATTATTATTATCATCATTTAAATATGAAAGAGATGATGAATGAATTCTTGTTTTATTTGATCTATTTCTTCCAACAAGACGTTGTTGCTTTCTTGCAGCATTTTCTTCTGTAGCAATACGAATTTTTTCTAATTTATCAATTAATGAATCAAATAATTGTTTCGATGTATCATCTAATGCATAGTAATGTTGTTTTTGAACCCAAAATCCATCATCTGTTGTACAATCAATTTCTTTTGTTTCAGGACATGATCGTTTTGATTTATGTCTTGGTGAATTTGATGAATAGTTTGATGATGATAAATTATCATATTGTTGATTTTGAGATTCATTTGGTGTTTTATTATGATCATGTAATTCTCCTCGACGTTTATCCGTTTTACGTGATGCTGATGTTGCTTGATGAGTAAAATCGAACGATGGTGTATTTTGAAAATTATACGATGGCTGAGGATAAGAATTATTATTACCAAAATTTAAAGATTTTGTCATAAAACCTTAAAAATTACAAAAAGTTATTAGCACTTTCCCTGCGACATTAAAATGTGAAAGACCAAGTAGCTGCCATTGCTAATTACATAGTAATTGTTTTATTCTATCTATTTTGGGACACATTTCTTCATCACTTGATCCTTCAGGAAATGTAATAAAGAAGTAGTTGATATATTGTAGCAAGATATGATGATATATGACGAGAGGTTAGAATTTCGGCTCAAGAAATTTTCAAATCGAGCTCAAAGCTCTCCTATTAACCCTTATAGAAAATCTTATTTCTATGAATACTTAGTATACTGCCTAATGCTATGCAGTATTCATTCTCATTAAAAAGTATCTGTTAGTAGCAAGCATTTAGACCAAGCTATAATTTATAGAATTCTGTTCAGTGAATTGGTATCAAGAAATTGGCAACGTTTATGAAGAAACATTCATTAGTTAAAAGTGGATCAGGCAAGCATCACTTGTTAGTTCTATCGAGCACTCGACATTTTTACGTTGGCACTTATTGAATACGAATAATAATTATCGCAAAAGATTACACCACTTTTAATAGAATCAAAGTAGACTGTTCAGCACTAGGTTTTTATTGAAAATCCATGCTTCTAAGCAGTACGAAGTGTACGAGCTTTTCATATGGTTTAGGTAGTTTAAGGAAGCTAGTTAGAGGAATTTGAGCTCAGATTGGAAGTCCGGGCCAATATTCATGTAATCTTCCATAGTCTTTAAATTGTATAAGAACAACGTCTTTCGTCGTCTGCGTGAAAGGGGAGGCCGAAGCTTTTATTTCTATACTTCAACACTACTTTTTAGATCGTGTTTTACAAAAATTAAAAGCTAATTCTTTTTTGTTTCCAGAAAAGTCTTAATACCTGTTTCTTGATTTGATTGACATAATTCAGATGATGTTGTTGAAGAATATTCAATTTTAGGAGGAGCCAATTCATGTAAATGAGGTGAATCTTGTAATGAAGTATCACCATGTTTGGATTCAATAACAATTACAGCACTATCATCTTCATTTCTTAAGAAACTGCGTATTGTATCAATAGCAAAATTAATATTTCGTGATTGATAAGCCGATAATGTACATTCAATATAACCATTTTCATTTGCTTGTCGACCAACAATCATATCACGTAAATGACATTTTGTTTGAATACGTTTTAAATTAGAAGCTCGTATACCTGATATATGAAATAGTAATTATTAGAAAAAAAATGAAGTTTTACAAATAAAATAAATTACCAACAATACGTGAAACACAATCATGTCTTATAAGAATAACTTGTTCGATGATATCACTACGATTACGATTGAAAAACGTTCGCCCATGATAGTTATTGAATGATGATTGTCCTTGATAATGAGAAGGTGATGAACGATAAGTAAGATTATCATTTTTCTGACGTTGATAACGATTATTTTCATGACTAGCTGATTCGTCATCATCTAAAATTAAGTTTATAATATAATTTTTAACTTTTAATCTGAAGAAAAAAATTCCTTTTTACGTTTATATGGTTGAATTGGTATTCCGAGAACATCATTAATAAAAGCAGAAATCTGTAGACAAGCATCAGTTAAATTTTCAATTAATTCACCGGTTATTGAGAGTTCACTTTGAATTTGTTTATCACCAAATTTAGGCAATTTAACAGGCTATAAATCAAAGAAAATATTCATAATAATCCTGGTGAAATTCTATTATTAGCAAACTCGATATAATATAAAATATTTATTACTTATAAACATTACTAGAGTCTTTAAATTTATTCTATGAACATCTGTGGACGATGCACCAGCACTACAAAAGGATAGCAATTGTTTCGTCTAAAAACAATTTGAGAAAGCAATAGATAAAACGACTCTGTAGTTCATGTAGAAAGATTGATCCATAGTCTCATGATTTTGTTTAATGTTATCCTGATGAATACACTTCCCATCATATATATATATATATCCTACATGTGATTATTGTGAACTCTTTCCTGTCATAATAAACAATCTTCAAAGTATATCTCTGGAACAAGACCAATAGCGTAGTTGTAAATCAGCCCCAGTCTCTCTAAGACTGACTACATAATTCTTAATGGTTTTGATGAAAAGAATTGAAGTCCGACTCACCAACATTCAAATGGTGAAGCACAAAGACTAATCTATTCTGTTTGTTACGAATAAACGACAGCATTCGTATTTTGGGTTTTGTTTTTCTTTTGAACAAAATTTACAATTAAGTTTTTCAAATTTATAATCAAAAAATCTGAGAGAAAGAAAAACAAACTTATCTATTACTTTGTAATCAGAGAGGGAATGAACTAGCTATGAACATTAATTAGTTAAACAATCGGAAGGACAGCATTTCTATCTTTCCAACTGATTGTTACGTTTAAAAAATTTTCAAGAAAAGGATAATTGATCGAATTTCACACACGAGAACACAATAATCAGTGAACGGAAGGTAATGACAAAGAAATTTAAAATTTTCCTAATTTGTCTTGAGTAAATCTTTTTTTTGCATTAAAAAGTATTACATTAATTTGAAGTTCGTAAGGCACTGTCACGTGATGCAATACTCAAGCTTCCATATTTCATGCCTTTGAGAAAAATTAAATTCAAGCGACAAAGGTTTCACTGCTGGAATGTGCACTACTGGAGAAGAGGATACAAATTAGACCTATTCAAAACTTTATTGTTTCCTGTTAAAAAAATTGAACTTGCATCGCCTTTGATAACATCGAAAATTATCAAAAGTAGAGCTAACATTAGTACGATCTTCTTCTTAATAGCTTCGTCGTTAATACTCAGCACGAATATTAAGAATAAAGAAATAGATCTGTTTGATAGTGAATTCTATTTACATCAACGATAAAGTAATTGATTTCTTAACTATCATTGCTTTTATAATTCTCATCAGTTTCTATGTATCTTACATTCATAACGACGACATTCAAACGTTGTTGTAATGATCCCGCAAAAAAACTCCAATTTTCTAAAAAAATTAAGTTTTCAACAACCAAAAAGAAAAGATTAAATTCAATATTTACTTTTAAGTACTTCTTGTCCTTGACTTGAAATAAGCATGACAAATGTGTATTGAGGTTTGCGTTCAAGTGGTATAAATTTGACTTGTTCTGGTTCGATATTATCATTTTTTTCTTCGTTTGTAGTTGGTAAAATAGAATCAATAGGTATCTTTTCTTCAGTTATAGATGAATCAGGATTGATTGATGTTGAATGTAGAGAAGATTTTTTATCGGTTTTGTCGTTCTCTAAAAACAATTTTTCAATTTCTTTGAAAAGTTTTTTATATATAAAATTTACCAGTTGATACGTCTGTTTCTTGAATCTGTTCAATATTCGGTGTTGTCGGTGTAACTAATTTTTGTTCTTCAATAGTCGAGGAATCCGGATTGGTTGTAGTTACTAATGATGATGTTGAAGGAGAAGATTTATCATTAGCTTCTGTATCTAAAAAAAAGGAACATTGTTAAAATAAACATCGAAGATTTTCAATCGTGAAAATTTACCTAATAAAACTTCTGTTTCCTGAAGCTTTTCAGTATTAGGCGTTCCTTGTTGATTACGATTTTCATTATGATCATGTTGTGTCAATCGATTTGATCGTTTAAACATTCGATTCATTATTTCAATAAGACATTTGCGCATATTACTTTCTGTACCAAAGATTTTATATGAATGTTTTGCCGTCTGTTGATAACCAGACTGAGAAAATATACAGATTAATGATAAATAGATATTGACATAAAATACTTACAAATATGTTTACATTGAATGCTTTAGCAAGTGAATGTAAACTTGAATTTTCTTCTGAAAGAAACAAATTTCATAAATATTGATGCAGTTATTATTTATTAGTTTTTACCTTCATGTCGGCCGAATAAACTTTTTTTTTGTCGATTATCAGTTAAAAACCGTATATTGCAAGCATTTGTATCCGATGTTTGATAGTTATTATATTTTTTTATTAATTTGTCACGATCATTTTGTTCAGTTGAATATCGAATATCTTGTGGCATTGTTATTCGATGACTTTGTTCGGAAGGGGTTGTTTCATTTTCCTTGAGTTTTTCAGTATTTTCAGATGATTGATTTTGATTATCAGATACAGTCATAGGATTTTCAGAAGACATCGTTGTCTCGCTTAATTGTTGTTCTTGATTACTCATGACCAATATACAGAATAAATAAAGGATGATATCTAGTTATTATTATCGCTGATAAAAGAAATTAGAATGCTGGCTAGAAAGAAAAAAGAAAGCAGCTGAATAATGGAAATATTCCACAAGTGAAAGAAGATATGTGATGATTGTATTCAGAATTTATATTCTATTTATTGAAGGAAGAAAGGCTATAATAGATGCTTGCCTTTCGAAAGAAAAACAATTATATTATTCGCTAGATGGCACTGGCTTATTTGAGAAAGAAATCAAAAAGACTCATGGATTAGATATGCACAGAAGGCGAACGCTCGGATTCTATCTTGGATGAGATCATTTTGGGTAAATTAATAAAAATGAAGCAGAAGTAAACCAAAAGAAAGGATTTCAAGCTTGGCTATAGTAGATCTACAAACCGAAGAGCTGTAAATATCCTTAAAAAAAGTCAATAATGTTCAGAAGCCCTCAAACGCAAACCTTAGGGTTGTTTCATGATTGTCCATATACCTCAAGAAATGCTTGAACAGTTACCGCAATATACGATACGGTCTGAACTGGTTATATAGTTTTCAAACTTGAAACATCGACCCAGAGTTTGAATCCTGTGCATACCTAATATGAATTCATGTCATTGTTGGTATTTTATCTGCATAAATCCGTTTCAAAATACAAATAGTGCAAAAAAGTTTCATTTTAAGAAAGAACATCGTCAGTAAACGACTTAGTATTATTTTCAATGAAAAATCGATCGATTGAAAGCATTGAGAATTCTCAGCTTTTATTCAATTAAGACGCAACATTTATGAATATCGGTGTGAGTGCGGATTATCCCTTTATTAGAAAGTGAAAGATTAGCAATGATTACTAAATAATATCTTTTTTAAATTTAATTTAGTATCTCACCCGTATGGATCGATATTGATCTTATGATAAATGCAATTTAAAATAAATATATTCTTAGAAAACATCGACACAATTATCTCCTCCATAAATTCTTGATATACCAACGAAATATTTCGAAACTTGATTAAATTTTTCTCTAAGGGATCTGTCAGAAAAAAAACTACTAAATAGAGACAAATCTTCGATGACATAAACAAAAAAAAAAATTTATTTCTCTGAACAACAAAAACAAAATTTTCAAGATTATTATATGTGGAAAACCTTTTTATTTGATATTTTAATTGACTATGAATAGCTTCATTTTAGTCTCAATTTCAAAACCAAGACTACAATATTTTTGACAACTCTCATGTTACAAAAAATTCATTTGCAATTTGTTGATAATTTTTATTTTTTTATTTTTAGAGTTCTGGAAAGCTTCTTCTAATAATTGTTGTTTTGTTTGTCTGATAACATTTGTAATTAACATGATCATCATGAAATTTTGATTGATCAATAAAATATAAATCATCTTTTGATAAAAACTTTTTTTTTTCAAGCAAATTTTCCGAAGATATTAGCTATGGATTTCAACCCAATGATAATAAATAGTGTTTTTTATAAGTTTCGAGCCCATTGTTATTGCTTTTTGTATCTTGGCCGCATTTGAAGGAAGATATAAATATTGACTATATATATATCGTGTAGCTCACCGAAAAATCTTTATTAAAGTTATTTATTTGACGTGGGATAAACATTACGGGATATTATTTTTTCTTTTGTGATGAGCCATATCTCCATGAAGACAAAAGCAAACATCCTGAGATTCTCTCTATATATGGATCTCAATTAGATCTGCCATACACAAAAATGTCGTTTATTCTGGTCCAGCCAAAGCAGAGTTATTCTCAAAATACTGACCGTTATAAAATTTCAGCTTTTTGAGGTTCCGTAATGGTCACCATTTCGAGAATAACTCTATTTAGATTAAACCAAAATGAACAAAATTTTTGTAGATAGTAGATCTAATTGAGATTCATGTGTACGGAGAATCTCAGAGTCTTTGCTTGTGTCTTCATGGAGATGCGGTACACTAAAAAAGAAAAATCAAGTTCTTTAAATCTTTTATGACACTTTTACCACAGTAGTATTTTCTTTGAGCTGAGGAAAAATGCACTCGATTGCTTTTGAACGATAGCTTATGTGTTACTCTTTCGATACATTATATTCAATGTCTATGGATCTTGAAGCATAGGCAAAATATAAAAAAATAAACATGAAGTTGACACTTATGAAACATCCTGGATAAATTATATACAATTAAGATAGCTTGGCTACATAAGAAGCAATTAGATCTTGAAATTTTTATTCTTATTTTTCCTCAAAATGTTCTAAATGAACATTACAGTGGAATAATAAACAAACAAAGAGTAAATAATCATGTTTGGACGAGTAGCGAATGTAAAGAAAACAGAATATAACCAACGTATGGAGCAATCAAGAATACATGATTAATTGTTTAGCGGAATCTCGCTGTAAGTAAGACTTGAAAACATAGTGTTTTGTCGCAAATCATTTATAGTTTATACATGATCATAGAAGTTCTTGGTTACTTCAACACCATCATATAGCTATTATAAAAACTAATGTATATAATAGTTAAAAGGAGTTGACAAGTAATAAGGTATTTAAATCAATGCAACCTTATACTACAACAGATGTATTAAGTTTAATTTTTTGCACGCACCCACCACCCACCCTTCGTAAAATGGAAACGTCATAACAACAGATTCCGCCATTTCATATCGTTGATCACACCGTTTTCTTGGAATTAGGTGATCACATTTTTCTTTTTTCTTTTTCGATACTTAATATGACAGCAACGATATTCAAGAGTGTCAATAGAGTTTATGGAAGTCAATTGATATTCGATATGGAAGTTTGATTATGTTGAAACAGTGATTTAGTCTTCATCTCGTGTCAGACAATCGGTTGATGTTGTAAAATACATTTATTGGTTTATTGTTTCATTATAATGCGGTAGCTGCTCGAAATTGATGAATTTAGCCTGTGTTTATTACAAACTCAAATGCTTTGAATGTCTGAATCGTGTTTAGTGTTTGCTTTTGAACATATGTAAGTTAATATCGGAATTTATCGCTTCGAAATTTATTCTTGAACTATTATTATTTTTTATGAAACCTATAATTAAAATTAGCACATCAATAATATGACAAGTATTTTGTAGAAAAACTCATTAAATAAATCATTCTTGAAAAATTATCAAAACAAAATATAGAAAATTGACTTCATTGGCTTAAATATAGCATTCTATAGTTTTCAAAGATCTGCAAATCAAAGTTCTACACTTACATGAGAACATCATTTGCACAATGTATTTCTCTATAGATTTTTTAAATGTCGAAGGGTTAAACTATACAAACAATAAATTTTCAGTATTATTGAATATTGACGAACGTGTTCATTGAATTATCATTTCAGACGAAATATAGCAGTGAACATGTATAATTAATCTTTGTAAATTATAAAACTAAATGATTTCACTATTCACAATACACTGCATCTTTTTATTTTAGTTTAAATAATTTTTTATGCTTGTCACATGTAAAATTTGGTGAAAACAAATGAATATCTATGATCTTGCATGATGATTAGAATTAGTTCATCTAATAGTAACTACTAGTTACAAATCAGAATATTGTAGTTAAGAATTGTTTTAAATTTAGTTTTCAGCGATAGATTCTATCTAGCAGTATTCTAGTGAGTCAATTTATCAGTAATCTTATACTGTTAATGATGTTTCCCTTTTACAATAACTATCAATGATATGCGACAGTTTTCATAGTTTAACTAGAATTCTGTGAAGTTCTGTTTCTTTTCAAGACTAGATAATAAAATTGTATGATGTTTAGTATTTCTATCGTTTGATAGTTGAATTCTATTTGACCATTAATTATGTCTTTTACAAGTAATTTGGAATTAAGATACTCCTGAAAATGAGAAAATAATATTTTGACATACGTTTAACTTTTAGATATTTAAAAAATACGAATATAAGAAGCTACAGCTCAATATTAATTCAATAAGATGTGTAAATGAATTCGTCCGATTGATTTTTAAGGAAATCCGTGTACTTTCAAAGTGTAATGTATATAGATTCTATTTTAAATTCAATAATTCGAGTTGAAAATTTGTCTAATCCATTTTACAACTGTCTAACAAGAGTTAATTATTTATTTATTTAGTATTTAATGAGAGAGAGATTATTTGCTATTTTCTCTTAATTGATTTCATTTTACAACTAATGAGAGGGCGTTTTCAAGTTCATTCTATCACGCCATATCTACTTGCATTTCTCTTGTTTCATGACAAAACCATATTTGTCCAGTGAAAAAGCATCGAATGAACATAAAGAATACGAGATGTATCAGTAAATAAAAATCTGCATTTTATATACTATTAGGCATATTATTGATTTAGTATTTTCTCATTCTTCAAATCTTTGATGATAAAGTCAGTCATTAAAATAGAACAGTTGAAAAAATGTGTTATTCATAACCGATAAAATCTGTTTAGTTTGATTATCAGTTGAAGTATTTACTGATATCAGTAGACTTTATAAATAAGCAATGATTACTTTCGCTTTCGATCTGACTACTTTGAAAAAGTAAACAGTAACAGTAATGATATCAAGTACAAATAGAATTCTGCTATCAAATAAGAAATCAAGGTTAACGATCAAATCAATTTTTTTTTGTGTTAACGATAAAGAATAGACAAAAAAATGAGACATTCAGTAAAAAACAAAAAAAATTAAGATTCAATGGGCTTTTTAAAATGTGTCAATGCTATCATCAAAATACATAACTACTATCATCTATATTAAGATCATGTTACACTCGATCATTTTTTTCCAATGACTAACAAAGAATATAGTCATATCTTTATTTAGTTATCGAGTATTAAAACATGCAATTTTCGTTATGTATTAAATCATTTCAATCGAGACTTATATTCAATTTCATTATGTATTTGCAAACGAGCACAAATTGAGCAAAAGAATACAACAT